TAAGAGTGCATGCCCGTTGTGAATTGGATTGCGCAACTGAAATGCAAACACTGCATCAGCTCCCATTTCCTTGAACTTTGCACGAAGTTCATTTGGAGTGAGTCGATAAGAATCTAAACCATCATCCCATCGAATTCGTTCTATAACCTCCAAATCTCCTCCTACAAGCCAATCACCACTTTCATAGATCATCTGGAAAAAATTACAAACACAATACACTTAATTAAAAAAACAGTATATTGTTCACAAAATATCACTTCTGTCATTGTTATTTATGAGCATTGACACTGCATAGCTTCCTTAAGAACACTTATTAATTATTCGATGTCTTTAAGTCCATTTGATTGTTTCTTTCAATGTTAGATAAAAATGGTGGGAAATAAAAGAACCTTGCCCATCAAACTGCCTTGCCTATCAAAATAATTTAATAATTATTTTATTAGTGTTAGGTTACCTTCTTTTATATTCTACATGTATATTATTTTTCTGTTTAATAAATCTATAATAACACTTCAGTAAATACTATTTTAAAGAACTAAACTTTTCTACTAAAAGTTAGTAATTAAAGTTTTCCTTTTCAACGCAGCAAAATCGACTAGCACCAGGCAACTTACATCAGTACGCAACGGCCCAACACATAGACCACATAATTACAAACATTAAAATGTATAAATACTCTTCTCATAATATTGATTTGAATGTATCTGATCACACTGCACAAATCATTAAAATAATCAATTGTCATGTTAGCCTTGATCTACCTAAAAACGCATTCTCCCATGACACAAGTGATACTAATCTACATTTTTGGAATGAAAGTCTCCTAAATGAGGAATGGACTGAAGTACTCAATAGTAATAATATCAATGAGAAATGGTACTTGTTCTTGAGTAAATTAAATTATCATTTGAACATTGCATGTCCCATTATTATGAGGCAAATTGATGTAGTGAAGAAACCCAAAATTAAGCTTATTTATGGAATTCTTGTTCTTAGAAATAAAATGAAAAACATGTATGACCTGTTCAGAGATACTAAGAACCTCTTTTATAAGGACAAGGATAAGCATTATAAACAATATGATCTAAAACTTATGAATGAGAAAAGCTTGTCAATTTAATCATTAAGTTAACAACTCAACAAACAAATCTTAAACACTGTGGAATATAATCAAAATTGGGAAAACTCAAGACTCACAAAAACATAACCCTACTACATGAAGGCATGTTTCTTGATAATCCTTCCAATATTTGTAGTTCCTTTAACTGTCATTTCTTAAATTCAAAGCATTAGACTTAAAGTTACATTTCTGTATGTCATTTTCTTTGCCTCTTCTAGGACATCATCATTTCTTTGAAACATAGTTTTTAGGGGAGATAAACTACTCATACAACCTTGCGTTTTTTGAATTGACAATTTTATGGCAAACCTAAATAAAACAGAAACCTGTACAAGATGGAAGAACATTTTAGACCCAATCATTTTGGCTTAAACAGGTTTTACTGTATCATTTTGTATTATAGGCATTGCAGGTTGCATGCTGCTTACAGGATGTATGATGAACATGCTTGATTTAAAGTATATTTGCAATGTGAATCACCATGCTTTTATCTACACCATAAGATATTCTGTGATTTTAAAGCATATTCATGTCACTCTTGTAAACTTTTTTGATAAATCAGTATCTAACACATAGGAAATGTGCTAGATAAAATCTTCAAAAATCAACAAAAAATCTGGAAGTTGGGGTGATTATTAAGATCTATGATGTCAATTCATAAAAGTTTCTCTATATTTTTAAACAATAATAAAAATATATTAATTCATGGGAACAAAATTACATGCAGGAATTTAATACACTAACCTTTATATAAGGATGACCTTTGTTTGCTGTTCCAAATGTTCTGCACACACGTTCTTCTTTGCGGTGGACATAGAATTCTGGCTTACGTAAAATAGCAATATTTTTGCCTTGATGAGCCAATGTAATAGATGATAAGCCTTCTAGTCTATTTTTGTCTTCCTCTTGAACAGGCAACACAATAGGAAGGGACTGATTTATACCAGTATCCAATAAATTATTGAAGTGCAAACTCTATAAGGAAAACACAAAATTAATTAAATAAGAATAAGAACATTTAAATTAATACACATAGATGAGAAATACAAATGTAACAGTTCACATAATTTTTCTAGATAGATAAATTTATTTTCCGCATGAACAACCAGTCAAATCATCCAATACTTCAATTACTTCCCTGACAACAAAAACTTTATTCCTCATAAATCAATTCCTGGATCAACTCAAATAACATCATCACATAATATACCCAATGACATACTTCAAGAAACATAAATTAATTCAATCACAATTCCTAATTATTTTGTGGTTCAACCAATCTTAGAGGGCATGCCCCCAACAAATTTTTAAGCGTGAACAACCAGACAATTTATCCAATACTCATATCAATCACATTTTTTTGAAAATTTTAGTCGTTTTGTGCAATATTACATGGAAAATATGCAATATTAAAAAAAACAAAACATTTTCTCAAAAAGTGCTCCAAATTGTTTCTTTAAACTTAAGGTATGGATAGTGCTAACTATACTACTCTATAAGATGTCAAACGCCATATTGCTCTATTCTTTTGTTTTTTCAAAAATTATGCAAATGTAATTTTCTTGATATCTCTCTCACGTTGTTAATATTTACATGAGGCAATTCGTCATCATTGCATTTAAGAGCTTTAAATAATGTCATATGTAGTTTCTCAAAAACTCAAATGTTTTCTGTGAAAGTGAATTCCGCATTTCAGAAACGCTCAAACATTTGCTCTAAATTTTTTCTTCAAACTTTTTCAATGGATAGTTCTAATAGCACTGTTTAAGATGAAATAAAATTAATTTTGTTGTATTATTTAGTTTATTCAAAAATTAGACTAATGTATTTTTTAAAATTATTTCTCATGCTGTTAATAGGCCCATTTTCGGCAATTTGTAAATATTATTGCATTTGTGTCTTGAAGTACTTTAAATGACTTTCAATAAAGTTTTTTTTTTTTAACTCAAAGGTTTTCGGTGAAAAAAGGCTTCAAATTTTGCATTTACAGTGACCCTTAAACAATTTTTTCTTAAAAACAACTTAAAATTTTTGAATGAAAATTTCCATATAGGCCAAAATTATACTTAAATATGTGCTTAAATATTCTTCAAGTAATATTTCTATTCAACCATAAAAAGGAAGAAAACAGGAATCTCAAAACAATGTACCCTTAGCTCCTTGGTTTCCACTAAATATAGTTTACCTGGAGAAATTGATCTTCTCTCATGAAACCTGTTAGGGGAGTGGCCCAACCTTCAGCAAGGACTTGCAACCATTGCAAGTCAACAACTCCAATTTCTAGAGAAGACAAGGCAGCAGCTTCCTCTCGAGCAGCTGCCACACGGTTCTCAGGCACAAACAGTTCTTTGACGAGGTCAGTTGCTTTCAAAGATGCTGGAATAATTCCCTGAAGCAAGATATAAACCACACCACTAATGACTTAAAGAAGTAGATAATTATTCTTTCATATGTATACACCTATGTTCAATACATGAGAGTGTCTAAAATCATCATTAACAAAAAGCAAGACAATAGAGAATAGGAGAATAAGAAAATTATATATAAAAATTGTCTCAAAAGCTAGAGGTTGTCGAAACCATGAAAAAATGTTTGACAAATTTCCGTAAGTGACAATCTTAAAGCACAGAATGAAAGTGGAGTTCTACCCTCATTTAACTGTTTGAATCATACTTACATGTTCTTCTAGAATTTCCACTACTTGAAGCATGCTCTCTTCTACACTACAATCAATAGTTTTTACTACTAAATCTGGTGTTTCTGGTTTCTCATAAGGTTGATCGACACCTGTAAAACCTAGAAGAATAATTGGAAAACATGCCATTAAGTATTTCTGATATTATCGCAAGAAAACTTAGTTTAAAAGTGTAATTAATTTTAAAAGTTGCACCTTTAATGGTTCCTTGACGTGCTTTTTTATACAATCCTTTTACATCACGTTGTTCACACACGTTCAGTGGAGTATCAACAAATACCTCAAAGAAAGGTAAGTCACTATCTTTGTGAATTTTACGTGCCATTTCTCGATCCTTAAATAAAAAATATCACATTCAGTAACAACTGCATATTACAACTATTTGGAAGTTTATAGAAAAAATTTAGTACTTCTCATACCACATGTAAAACAAAAATAATATAATTAACTTTGGCACATTGATTGGAGCTCAAAAACATTTATCATCTTCGGCATTTCATAACAGTAGTTAAGTAATTTTGAGTTTCTATTATAATATAGTGCAATAAATAAATACTTATACATATTTTACTTTCTTTTATACATACATACATTAAGAATAATATATAGTATAGAAGTTGTTATGTAATGCTGCAAAAATCAATTTCGGTTTTTCAAAGGAAATACATTTTCAGGAGCACTCGGCGATACAAAATAAGTGTTACATTTTTCAGAAGGTCAGTCTGTCTGTGAACAACACTAGCACTGAAACTACTCACTAATTCCTATTAGCATATTTTCCAAAATGAATATTCCCTGGTTGATGTAGCTGACTTAAAGCTCTGCGATTTTGAAAAACATTCTTCCAATTTTAAGGGTACTTTACATGAACTTTTAAAAATATTTTTCATATCTTTTAATTAGAGTAAATCATTGGATAGATTAAATCAGAAACTCAGCAGTTGAAAACATATATATTTGGATTCCATTAAAATGCTTTTGCTACATGTACTACATTTCGCGTTATGGTTTATCTCTTCCTCAGGTACATTTCATGCCAATATTTTAAAAATTAATCACTTAGACACACCATATTTAATGGATAGATATGTTTTGTGACACATCATTGTTTAAAGCACATCTTCGGTTTGATTACAGAGATGTTTGAGGTCTACTGTCTGTACAAGTAGTAAAAATATTTTAATGGAATCCAAATATATATGTTTTCAAATTATGTGTTTCTGATTTAATCTATCCAATGATTGACTCTCATTAAAAGATATAAAAAATAAATAACAACTAAATAGACATTCAATAAACACTAATAAGTGATATACTTTATATGAAGTCCCTGAGATGTTTTCATAAGTTTCCCAAAAGTGGCTACAAAAAAAATAAATTTTTTTAAAAATTCCTCTAAGAATAGAGTGAAATACACTTATAAATAGTCATAGGTCTAATTTTCTATTAACTTAATATACTATTAACTTTGAATTTTAAACGTTATTTTAAACCTAATTTTTAACGTTAATATACTATTAACTTTGAATTTTCGAAAATTATTTGCGAAAATTACAAAAGTTTGAATTTTTTTGGATTCATCTTAAAACTAGAATATACAAGATAGAGATTTTTTTCAAATAGAAATTTTTGTCTGCAATTAGTTCTTTAATTAATGTCATGTCAATTGTTTTGAAAGTATTAGGAGTTTTTGCACAATTTGGAATGAAATGCAAACAATAATAAAAAATATTTACAAAAAAGAATTTTCACAAAATGCTCCAAAATTTTCTTTACATTCTTTCCTTGGACATGAGATATATAATTAACATGAGATATATTTCAGAATATCTCATGTTAATTGTGTAGTTTTTGAAAAATCAAAAGAATAAATCAAAATGGGGTTAATATCATTTTATTCAGTGCATTCAGCTCTATCCATAGAAAAAATTTAATGAAAAAATTTGAAGCCATTTTTAAGACAATGTTGTTCGAGCATTTATGAACATATGGAAATTTCAGCTCATTTTCACAGAAAAACGACAAATATTAATGATGTGAGAGAGCTATTCAAAAAATATTTGTTTAAATAAAAAAAACAAAACAGTTAAGGGACCCAAATTTCTTTGAAATCCATTGGTGAATATACTATTTTGAAGAAAATCGGCTGAACAGTTTAGGCACTAGGCTTGACCACAGACAGACATATTACACTCAATCAATTTTGGGGTATCAAGGACTCACAAAACATGGGTTCTAACTTTACAAGTGCGAGAAAGCAAACAATGTCCAATAAGCAGCAAGAGGTGGCAGCTGGGATGAGGGTGGTAAAAAACGAAAATCTAGCCCAGATAAGGATATTAACTTCTTTGAGAAATTCTGTACCATTCTGTAGAATCACTAGTTTCAATATTTGGTAGAATTAAAAGTTAAATATTTGATTTGAAAGAAAATAAGTGGTTGTACAACATGACACAGACTTTCATGTAACTTTTAACAACTATGTATAATAATAATAATAATAATAATAATAATAATAATAATAATAATAATAATAGTAATGATGATAATAACCCGTGTGGTGTGGAGGTATTTAGTAGAATGGCACCACGGGACCTCCCCCTGTCGTAGAAGGCGACTAGTCGGAGCAGCGTTCGCTGTCACTCCCCTAAACATCCTGTCATTCCCACAAACTTGGTGCGTCATTGCTTCTAATTACTTGTGGCACACTTCTGTTTTCTGTCCTGTAGGCCCATCTTGTATCGGCCAACTTTTGTGTTTTCACCCCGATGCTATTAGGTTGCGAGGGCTAGTGAGTCGTTTCCATTATACCCTTCTATTCTAACTCTAATCTTCTCTGCCCCCCCTTTTTACTTCCGTTTCCCTAAGTTGGCAGTAGCTCAAAAACGCTAGGGGAAGGTGACCCTGAAGAAAAAACCCAAGATGGAGAATCTGTCAGGATCGACAGTTACGGTGCAGGGGATCGGAGCCCCAGTTCCGGCGGTCGGTGGCGCGCAAGCAGGCCACCGGGCGTCGTCACCCAGCGACTGCAATGTCAATGGTGCGGACCACTCGACACCCCTGGCAGATACTGCTGCCAGCGAGAGCAGAATGATGAAAAAATGGGAGACCATTCAACAGCTAGAAGAACACCAGAGGCAGATCATTGAGGGTCTGAGCCAAAACCTTCAGACGTTAGGAAAGTTTATGTTGAAGCACAACCCGGTGACCGTGAAGGATGCTTTGGATAAATCACGGGAAGCATCGATGCTCTGGGGGATGGTGCGATGCAACAGGCGAGGAGGGAGGATTCTCAGAGATACTGAACTCCTTTTCAAAAAGAGAAGGCAAGGCTAAGGGAGGGAAAAATGTACTGGATGCCCAAGAAAAAAGTGCATAGTTCACCATAGGAGACTAACAGAAGAGAGAAAAAACCAACAACAACAGAAGGAAGCCGTAGAAAAGATCAGTGATACACACAGGAAAGTGGAAGAAATGAGAGCAAGGAAAGAAAATCGCTCGAAATAGACGAGGTGCAGGACGAGGAGAAATGGGAAGTCCAGAAAAAAGAGAAAAAGAAAGGCAAGGAAAAGAGGCCAGACGTGTATTTAAAGAAACAAGACAAACAATTTAAAGATTACAACAAGACGAGGGGTTCCATATGGCTGCCACTGGCTGCATGCTGCCATTGGGGAGTTCAACCTCAAACAATGGTCTCTACGGCAGACAGGGCTCGAACAGTTATTGAGAGGGCCTGCAATCTATCGATGCCCCTAAAGACAGAAGTTATTGTAGGAGACCACAATATTGCTGGACACAGGAAATAGCCCTCCTAAGGAGTGACTGTCTCGCAGCCAGAAGATGTGCGATGGCGAAGGGGGATGAACATCTGAAAAGTAATTACAAGTGGAAGAAGAAGGAACTCGACCTCGCAACAAGAAGAAGCAAGGGAAAGCTGACATTAGATGTTAAAAAGATCTGCGGGGCATGCCTTACATAAGTTATGAGTAAGTTGAATGGCAGGCGGAATAACTCTGCTCTAAATGATAAAACGTGGGTTGAAAAAATAATTTAACATCTATATCCGAAACTCCCAAAAAGGAAAAGGAACAGCTATGACAAAGCGGTAGAGGCCCATGAACTGCGACCTCACGACCCACGAACTGCAAGAATTTGGTAAGAGCCTGAAAGAATGCAAGGCACCTGGGCTGGACGGGATACCGAACGTGGTACTGAAAGTAGTCATCACTGAGTGTCCAGACCTTCTATTGGAACTCTTCAATGAGTGTATGAGAAATTCAGGTTTTGCCATAAGCCGGTGGATAGTGCATCATCGTACTCGTATAGGCCCATCTGCCTTCTGGATACCATAGGCAAAATGCTAGAAAGCTCGTTTCTTCAATGCATGAAGCACGATAGGGCAGAGCAGCCTGGCTCATAAAGAGTTCCGTAAAGGCAGATCGATGATCGATGCTTTCAGGGAAGCGGTCGAACTGGCAAAAACGGCAAGAGCAAGTAGCGGCAGGAAGAAAGGCTTTTGCGCCCTTACAGCAATAGTCATTCGGTACGCATTTAACTCATTGGGCTGAAGTGTAAAAGTGACGGATTATCCCATCTACCTGAAGAATCTTATAGGTGACTACCTAAGCGAGAGAAGCGTTATATGTGAAGGCGATAAGTGGAAAATTAAAGAAGAAATGACGTGTGGAGCCCCCAGAGAATCTCGGCTAGACCTAATGCTATGGAACCTGGTTTACGATGACTTTTTAAGATGTCTCTCCCAAGGGAAGTAAATATTATTGGAATTGCGGACAACGCCTTGATTGTAGTCGCAGCTGGAAGCGAAGACTTCCTTGAGATGTAAGCGAATGAAAGCTTGCAAAGAGCAAAAAAATGGTTGGATAAACGGAAATTAGACATGGGGACAGAGAAAACAGGGGCATTTCTGGTTACCAAGAGAAGGGGATTTAGGAAGCCGAGGGTAGAGGTGGGAGACAATGAAATACAATGGAAGAAACACATTACCTATTTAGGGGAATAAATCGACAATTGCTTGAGTTTTGGACCGCATGTGGAGAAGGTAGCGATGAAGGCAATACAAGATGAAGAAAGTCTAACACGACTAATGCCGAATGTTGAGGTTCCGAGAGAAAAGAAAAGATGACTGATAGCAGGGTCAGTCCTATCCAAAATGTTATAGGCAGCTCCGACTGTTTTTCAATGTCTTTCGAGTGCAATGAAGTTATTGATGCCTCTATTTGATGGATGAAGATCTTGTCAGGGCAAGGAACAACATAATTTTCACGAACAGGTAAAGTTGTTTCAGGTGACACAGGAAACATAAATGAGAGGAAAAAAAAGAATCAACAGTAGTTCCCATCCGAAACGAAATACCTCACTTAACATTTTCTTTCTATATTATTTTAATAACTATAAAATTAAACAACTAGAAGTATGAGGAGTTAAAGGTGAAGTTCAGAAATATTAACAACATACCTCAGAAAAAGGTGATACAAAGCTGCACAAAGCAACAACACCACTATCTGCAAACAATTTTGCAACTTCGGCAACTCGTCGAATATTTTCTTCACGATCTTCTTTCGAGAAGCCTAGATTCTTGTTCAATCCAGTGCGTACATTATCACCGTCAAGTCCATAAGCAGGGATACCTCGTGACACCAAATATGCTTCCAGTTCAAAGGCAATTGATGTTTTTCCAGCTCCAGATAAACCTACAGAGTAAATTACATTAGCCTCATTACGGAAGCACATTATAATCAAGAAGAAAATTAGTAAATATCAATTTGACATTAATCAAGAAGATGTATTAAGTAATATTTTGAAACAAAATCTTCATGAAGAGCAAATATCAATATCCCACCTGTGAACCAGACTGTGCATCCACGAAAGCCTCGCAGGTTTCCAAGAACTTGTCCTCTCTTGTCGCGGGATACATGATGTTTCTGTTCAGTAACATTCGTGGCCACCTGCAGAGCCTGAAACATAATGATTACGTATGTGAAAAAAGTACTTTATATTCGTATTTTATTATGACATTTTTCATTTCATTGTGTTTTGCATTTGGTATCTCTTGAGAGATAATTTACTCACTTATACTTTTAATGAAAATGAGATACTTTTCAATATTCTGAAAAATTATAAGTCTTACAGGACCAGCATATACATTTGCATTTTGTATTCAATGCAAACGAACATCATACAGAATGAGAGATTGATTTACATAATGAGATTAATTTTCCAAATGCACATACTATATCAAAGCTTGTAATTTTTCAAGTCTTAATCAGCTGACAATTTAAAATTTTGGTTTGCCCTTTTACTTATGCATTTATGTGAAGATAAAAAAAGTCACTACGGAAAAGGAAAAAGTAACATCTGTCCTTTGCTACAACATCACTCAAGTCAAGAACACTTTTGACTCGTGTCTTATAATAATAACAACACTTACGACAAGAATGGATGAGCATAGGAAGTATCAAATTCTAGAAGTTCACCCTTTGGCAAACGTGAAGCCTTCAGTCAGAATTTTTATTTGAAAGGACCCCCTAATGCTATTTACTTTACCAATAAGAACATGCAATAAGTCTACACAAGTTAACACAGAAAGGAAACAAAAAGGACAAAACTTCGAGATAAATTAAATTAGATTATTAGCAAGCAAAAAAGAACTATCAACATGATTAAAAAATGTAAATTAAATGTTTAAACACACGCCATAATCTCTCTTAGCCATTTCAAATTCAGTATTCACTTACTCACTCCACTTGTACACTCACATCCACCAACAACAATGGAAAGAGGTTTGTTTTACACTACAATCTATGCATAACATATGATATTACAAAAACAAACACCAAAAAACCAAAAAGAAAAGTTGTACGGCTCATACCAAAATTTCCCGTATTACTGTAATAAACTGATAATTTTCCAACTCACGATTTTCCTGTAAAGTCCAACAAGAATCGGAAGTTGGAGGTGGCACGGTTATTTTGGTTCCTTGACGTCATAGTTGTTTCATTGTTGGTGTAACTGTGTAACAAAAATCTTACACCGTGATGGTGTTTGTTTTTCGAACGGTTCATGCTGTTGTGTGAGGAATTATTGTTGTCTTGTTTGAGGCGTGGAATTACGCGTTTTTTAATACTTAGTATACTGAGATAGGTGTGGCGAATGTTAGAGTTATTTATGAATTGCGACGAATGAAGAGTTTCAATGCTATTAAATGGTGTGTGAATATTTATTTACGTCAAAAACACAAATGTGTGTGACATACTATGGGGAGAAGTTAATTTAAGTTACTTTTACGTCCAGAAGCAAAAAAAAAGGGGCCATCTCAGCATGTGCTCAAGGGTCGGGGAAACTGGACGAAAACCTGATCGAGATGGTGGTCATTGACCCAGAAGTTGAAGTACAATACTTGTTACAGGTTCTTTACAATTGTACAATCGAAATAGGTTATAATACATTAAATGTCATTAAAATTATTATCACTTTCGGTATAGTCTCTAATTAAATAGAAACAGTTGTGCAGTAGAAAAGATTTTACTTGGCACTTAAACTTTTGTATCGAATTTAATCGTTTAATGTCATTTGGCAAGGTGTACTAAAATACTATTCCCGGCTGCAATGCAGTTTGCGATTCGATTCGTTCGTTAAAATGAGTATTCACATAAAATTCGTTGGCAATTAAGCGTTGGACAGACTCAAGGATGTTTTATGTTAACTCGGGCCAAAGGCCCGAGTCTCGTCCTCAACTTGGACACGCGTAGCGAAGCGCTGCAATTCAGCGCACGTAAACGAATCGGATCCCAAACATTTCACGTTTTCAAGTACCACATAGAACCTACTCCTGACTATTGAACAAAATTTTTCTTGTGATAAAAATGGTATTTTTATTAACTTTTACTTGTTCAACTTAAATTTATCTTTTCTTTGAATCATGACACGGCCGTCTAAATTTTAAATCCAAATCACGGTGAACGAAAATGTACACCGTGACCAGTAGCGTAACGGAATGAGTGCGACCTGCCCGAAAACCTTTTGCCCGGCCTCCCTTTATAAAAGCGTAGAGCAAACACAAGTAGTGTTAGTCACTTAAATAATAAAAATAGGCCCTCTTTGCGCCCGCACTGCAGGGTCTTGCTGGCCCGTACGTTTCGCCACTGCAGCTGCGCCACGTAGCGGCAGCGCAGGCGCAGCATGGCGTCTGCCCGGTTCTAATTGCACTGCACTTCCCTTCTTTTACCAGCATGTAAGGAACTGTATGTAGTGAAAATGTACCCGTGACATTACTTCTAAAACGCCAGACTGCAAAATATTGATACGCAAATACTGATCCGTTTGCTGCAAATTCACGGCTTCCTCAAGAAGTTTCATCCCTGGCACGGTTGCTTACCACCGCCCTTTTTGGAGTATTGACGAAGTTCAGAAAATTTCTCAGTATATCTATATTTCATAATGGTTATTCATTTGATTTAGGCATGTACCGATAAGGAAACCTTAAATTCTTCTAGATTAATGTATTGAAGATTTTGTACACACACACACACACACGCACGCACGCAGGCGTAAATAGAACAAAGAATATAAAAAAAGCCAAATCAGAATTAAAAACTAAAACAATGTGAGAAACGAAACTCAAATAGAAATGCTTAGTGATATTAACATTAAAGCCCAAAAAAGTTACCCAGATTCAAGATTTCACCTAGGCAAGGTTTTAAAAGCTTTTGATTATTATACATAATTGACGTTCACACAAGTAATATTTCTCTTTTATACTTCTCAAGCTCGCTCCTTAGTTCAATCAAGTAAATAATAGAAAACAGAACTACGACACAAAGGAAAAACAAATACGAGAAGTCAAAATAATCACTGAGTAGACAGCAAAAAGGCTCTCTGCTACAAAAAAAAAGGACAATACTTCTACTTAGAAAGGCCTACGGTAAAACCAACTTTCTTAATAAATGCATGCAGTGCATACAGCTTACCCACGCCGATGTAGACGATGAATAGAAATCCTAGAAGACCAAGAACACAGCAATGTTAAAATCATCTCCAATTATTTCAGATTTCAGGAACATAATGACCTCTCAGTAAATTATCAAAGTCACCTTATTGAACACATTATGACCACAGTAAGAGAACCAAGCTGTTTAATAATCAAATTTTCCTCTACTAAAAACTGGTGAAATAAGAATACCACAAAAAGACCCAACAGCTTAAAACGAAAACTTGCCTAGCATTTCAGTGAAAAATACTGATAGCACGTAATTAATTCGATTATTTGAATAATCAATAATAGAAATGAATTCAAAACTGCATCAACTTTTTGTAGCAGTGGCTGCGCTAGAGAAGAGAGCAGGGCCCTGACCTGGGCTCCTACAACCGATGTGCCGCGGGACCTCATTTATCGAGACGCGGAGCTCCGCCGTTACATGCCTATCATAATATTTGGTGCTTCAAAAGCACGTACTTTCTCAAATTATTTGTAACCGTTGCGTAATATAATACTACTTAAACATACATTTGTGAAGTTTTTGAAAAATTAAAATATCACATGAAAATAACATGATGTCATTCAATGCTTTTAGCTTCATTCTTTCAAAAAGTTTGAAAATAAAATGAGTTGTTTTAGATAAAATCACGTTTTAAAATTGCTTTTATTTCACCCAAAATTGACCGAAAAGTATTCATATGTTGAAAAACCAATATAATTTGATTTGAAGATCTATTCTTTAAGAACATATTTCATTGTAAAAAATCTGTCTTCAATATTGTAGTTGTAGGAAAATGTGAAAAAAAAATTAACGTTCACTCCCCTCCAAATTACAACAATTTCAAGTTCAAATGGGCCGAAAATTATCCAGATTGTTCTGGGAATATCAATTTCGGTTAGCCGCTAGCGTTGTCCACAGACGGTGCCGTAAACCAATTTCACGGTATGAAGGACCCACAAAATGTGGATTTTGACTACACAATACGCTAGAGTAAGTAGTTTACTACACAACACAACACGAATTATCCGTTTATTTGGTATCTCAAATTACAATCCGACTTTCACTGCCGAAAAATCAGAATTTTCGCCACTGCATAACATCACTTTCACAATACCACATACTAGTAAAATGTGGCATCGCCGATATTGTAAACCATTTAAAAATAGATTCATGTACTGAAAATTTCTCGTTGCCCGACTTTGTTCAAATACGTTCTTTCAGTATCAGGCATTAGACTTGCCAATGAATCGTAGTAGCTGTTATACGTTCAAAAGTTCCCAACACCCAATGGCATTGTGTGTTACCTCCATACGGGAAAGGAATAGGTCGTATTGCAGTTTCAAATGTATAATCACTGTAACAAATACTTGCAGTTGTGGTGCTAATAGTTGAATTTTAGTACAGCTACATTTTAAGCTTTTCTGCTAAGACACACAAAAGTGCACACAGCACATTTGCATTAGCACAAATGCTAAATGAAAAAATGCAGATCATTCCCAATTAGTTTCGAAAATTCTATCGCAACATTTTTTACAACTACATTTGATTCTTTCCCGAATTTCCTAAACCCTTCCATATTTTACTCTCCATATTTTTGAAGAGATTGAAACTTTACAAACTTATTTGTGTTCACTTCTACTTCTGTAATTGTTAAATTAATTGTTTTGTATGCAAATCTAGCGTTGCATGCAAATCTAACATTAAAAGGCGACTGTTTCGTAAGTTTATCGGAATGAGGTGTTAAACAAGTTGTGTTCATTAAATTCATTTGAAAATCGGTATTTGCACACTTATGTAAGAACGTAAAAGTGAAAAGTAGAACATAATGTTCATTCATTCCTTAGCATTATTCAAAGTTTTGTTTTCTCCGTATTCACTTGCAATTCTTCAAGCCTAAAAAGTTCCGAGGCAATACTGTTCGTAGGTTTTCGCAAATTTATTTTCAAAAATACGTAATATCGAATCTAAATTGAAATCAATCTGCGGCGCGACTTACTTGTTAATTCAATTGTTCACTTAAAGATGTCGACATCATTGTTGCCAACGCCATGAAAGAAAATTATGGCGTATTTTGCTAAAAAATTGTTTGGGAACGGGTGTTTAATCAACGCCACACACATAGATAGATTTAGGATGCGTTGGTTTAATTCCTGGCATAAGCACTAAGATAGGAGCGCCAGAACACACAAAAACCACATTTATTTGAATCTGGCCGGATCCAAAAACAAATTATCAGTTCCCCATCAGGTGTCGAATGACACCTCATACGTCTCGATTGGGGCGCGGGAAGTGGTCTAGCCAACAGCGGCGGAAACTCACACATCCGTACACTCAACAGTTTTACTCGAATACTGTATACTGATAAGTGGTACGGAAGAAAGGCACAGTCTTTGGCGTATTATTTTTATTTCCTTTGGTCTCGGCTAGCTATTTGGACTCGCTACATAATTGCGCCAGCTACCATCTATCGCCGCCCAAGTACATGTAAAAACAATTCTTAATTTCTCGGTTACCTGATAGTAAAACCGTAATATTATTTTAATAACATTAAATACCGTAAAACCTCGTACTAAAAGGCAACTTTAAAAAAAAATTGAAGACGATTTTAAGAAAATGGCGTTTACGCGATATGTTAATTCGAAATTTGAAGCTCGTTTTCACAGAACAGTTTTGGGTTTTCGATAAAATTCATTTAAAGTCATGTGAAGCATATTAACTCCCAAATACAATAATGTATACAAATGACTGAAAATGTGCATAATAACGGCGTGAGACAGCATTAAAACATATTTGATTTGTGTAATTTTTGAAAGAAAAAAATACGCCAAAATGAAATTTACGTCCTATTAAAGAGTGCAATTAGCACTATCCGTTAGATAAGTCTGAAGAAAAAATTTGGAGCCGATTATGAGAAAAAGGTGTTAGAGCGTTTTTGAAAATGCGGAATTTTGAACCAGTTTTCACAGAAAACCGTTGGGTTTTCGAGAAACTTTATATGACATTATTTAAAGCACATGAAATCATAAATATAACAAATCTCCATTAATGTATATATTAAAAATGCGAGAGATAAGGTAAAAATAAGAATTTTATAATTTTTGAAAAAAACAAGTGTAGCGCAATATGGTGTTTATGTCATCTTATAGAGTGCATTTTGCACTCTACCTATTAAAAGTTTAAAGAAAAAATAGGAGCCGTTTTCGAGAAAAGCTTTCTTTTTGTTATTTTTTTAAATTGCGCATATTACAACCAATATTGCACGAAAAATACGAGTTTTCAAAAAACATATGGATAGTCTGAATGAAACAACTAATTCTGGACAACACATTTCTTTTAAGGGAAATATCTCCATCTTCAATATTATAGTTATAAGAAGTTGGAAAAAAAGACTATTACAGTTTTTCAAAAATCGGTGTTAGCACGGAAAAACATTCCTATGCCACCTTTATAAGTGTATTATTATTAAGCGCTCTATTATTACAAGAAATTTAAAGCCATTAAAGAATAAATTTAGAGCCATTTTGGAGAACATTTTGAAAAAGTCCATGGGGTTTCATGGAAAGTACCCACAAAAATCAATTAAGTTTTTCTAAACCGCAGAGCTTCGACTCAGGCCAAATCGACAAGGGTATTTCAATTTTGAAAAACACCTACTCATTGTTCAGGCGTGTAGTTCCGTTGAAATCTCGAAATCGATTTTGCACAGCATTACATAAGGTACCCAACACTAAGTACGTATATTTCTCCGTATATACGTATTAAGATGTCTCGAAATCTCACGTCTTGTCATAGCCCACGCGCCCCGAATCTCTCTCCGCCCCCACCCCCCGTCACATTGGCTACGCGCAGCTGCCGGCTGACCTGAAGGCCTAGAACTCGAAAAGGGCGACAGCGTCGCTCTTCCAAAGCCACCCTCACACTTGCAGCAAATATTATGAAGATTTGCCCCTCTGCGACTCCCGCCCAAAAAGCAAAGAACCCACTCGACCTTCATCGGTGTCTCGTGCACTTGACACCTGCGTTGCCGTGAAAATACGGACTATCTTTGTCTTGCAAATGCCCCCTTGCTAATCCTTGGGGTCTAGGTGTAATTCTTCATCCAGAGCGCCGATTCCCAGCAGATGATCCCCAACCCCGGCCACCCACTGTCAACAGTAGCTAAACAATGACCACCTATTGGATATATTATGTAGGTCACCAAGGCCGGAACTGGGCCGACCAATAGGCATCCACAACCCATAGAATATCCTAGAAGTTGCTAAGAGAACTAATAGGGGCGTAGGGTGACACGCACGTGACCAGAGGGCACGCACACAGAGGGATGGTAGCACAGGGCAGAGATGAGAGAGGGAGAAGCCTGAAATGCATCGAGAGAGGCTGTTTTGATTTTCATCGAGCAGACACATTTCTTAAAAAAAAAAACCTTCGAGATCTACGACTATTTGAAACCACGACTTTGAATTAAGCTCCACCGGATGACATCCTTTATGGAACCGATGCATGATTTTAAACGTTATGAAGCGAAATAACCACGCCAACGGAATTTATTCCGTTCTGCAGACGAAAGCCAGAACGTCCGAGAAGGTCACGGCGAGCAACTTGCCGCGACGTACATTCTAATACGAGCAAAGGTGACGTTTGACGGCCTGACCCAGAATAAGACACAGGCCTTCATAATCGGTACGAGCGAGGGACTTCAATCCAGTCATCGGCGCGCGCTGCGCAGCCAGGACTGCTCCAGTGCGACGCCGCCCCGCCTCTGGCGGCATCACAGGCACGCCAATTGAGCGCCAATCCAGGCCGGCGGCGGCAATTCTCTACAGCGCGTTAACCCGAAATATTTCACTGCAAGCCCCTGTCCAAAATTAAAAGGCTGGAACGTTAGTGGGAAAGAAGGGCATTGGGTAGTTACACATTAAATGTCCATAAAAGTGTCCTTTTGAATGAATGTGTGCCCGCCATTCTGACGGACAACACTTAAACAATCAATTGAAAGTGTTTTTTAATTAATTAGTTAAGAG